ACACACACACACACACACACACACACACACACACACATATATAGACACACACACACATGCGCGCGCACGCACACACACACACACACACTCACACGCACACGCACACACTGACTCTCTGCAATAGCTTTAGTTCTAGAGTTATCTCATCTCTGTCACAGCGCTGTTGCTTATGTATATGATAGAACGTAACCTAGCGACTGCAACACATGTTTGTAGTTATCTGCCAGCTGACTGCCTGCTGTCCTCCGCTATTTAGCGGAGGCATAGCGGAGCGTTCGTGAAACAGGAGTTGTCCGTTCGCTAAGTTCTCTGTTATGCCTCCGTTCGCTAAAAAGCGAACGGAGAACTTAGCGGAGAACTTTAACGTAGCTTTGTGAAACGCGCCCCAGTACCGTAACGAACAGTATTGTAATGAACGTGGAATCCACGTACGAATCACGGACGCTCGTGATAATGAAGTAGGCTGTGTTGGGGCCAACGCTATGGGAGGATCGCGGACTAACCACGGCCACAGACTAAACATGGAAAGCAGACGGCACTACGCGTATTTACGTATATTGGTCAAACGAATACACCTGTGTCTGAAATTGAAGACATGTGGGTACCCGTTCATTAGCACCCACGGTTATTTACTTGTGCCTCAATACCGAGAATACACCCAGAGATACATTCTACTAGCTCATTAGTCGTATATAAGCATCCCGGGACAAACAATTCTCTGCTAAACACCCGTAGCAACATGTGACGTTGTCTAACCGAATTCGAGGCTATTTTGCTTGGCAACCAATTTAGCGTTGGCGCCAGATTACCAGATTTACGGATTTCAATTAGACATTTCTTAGTAATTAGCAGTGATATTGGACAAACTAATACGCGTTTGACTATAAGGTAATGTACTTATTAACTGCAGAAGGTGCCAGTTAATGTAGCATTCGTCAACTTTGTATAATCAATGGCCTATTATGCCTTTAAGTAAAGTATTTTACTCTGATTTATGAAATCTTTGGTCTATCGGACCTTCGGTCTATAGGTCCCTTTTTAATATTTGGTCTATCGGACCTTCGGTCTATAGGGCTGACCCCGTGAGGGATGGAGGGAGAAACAGACTTACATCAGGGGGAAATGGAGGAGCAAACAGCCATAGATCAGGGGGAGGGATGGAGGCAGAAACAGCCATAGATGAAGGAAAGGAGGGTGCAGGGGAAACCAGCTCTATATAAGGGAAAGGAGGGATGCCTGGAAAAGGAATTCCTCTGTTTAGATGCATATGTCACCACTGGGATAACTCCACCATACATTGCAATTTACACTTATGTCTACGCCCAGCCATTCACCCCCTCCGGACTTTTAAGCCAAAATGTCTCACTTTAATAGTATACATACAAGTTTGCTTAGCTGTATGATACATTTTCAGAATTCAGTGAGTTCAACTTTCAAAGCGAACATGGATTCACCATCATCTTCGCAGGGGTCAAAGCCCAGCCCAGATGTAGACCCAAATTGCTCCCCAAGTCCTGGCTCGAGTCCCGGACCCAGTCCGTTAAAGAGAAGGAAAACGACCATTGATGATCTCAGGGTCACACTCCAAGAATATCACGCCAACGCCGACACCAGTCTTAGAGCAGCCCTATATTCAATCTCGACTGGAGAAACTCAGCAGAGTACAAAAGCTCTTCAGAGGCATCTTCAGCAGACCAAAGCAGCTATGCAAAAATCCCTCTGGCTGCTTTCACAGCTTGAGCAAATGTCCAACAGCCTGGCACAAACTGTGAAAGACAGAGAGACATACAATGCCTATCTACATAGACAGAACAGTGACTTAACATGTAAGATGAAGACAATGCAGACGCAAAATCTGGAACTTCAGAAAAAAGTTACTCATCTCACCAGCATACTCACCGATGATTTCGATTATGAACAGGATTCACAGACCAGCAGCATTGAAGCTTCACAGCACAGCAACATTCAAGCTTCACAGGGCAGCAGCGTTCAAGACAGTCAAAACACTCCAGAAAATGATAACTAACAGTCACCAAAAACCCAAAAATCAATCTGCTTTTCCACCATTTCTTATTCATGATTTACTATTGTTTGTAACCAATTATAACAATTGATACCATGTTTTAGCGTGGATAGTATGTTTTACCATGTATGTTTGTAGTAATATGTATTAGTATTATATATGTATAACTATTAGTATGTATTCATTATGTATGTATGCAGTATGTATTACAATGTTCCAGCTACAGTTATGCACATATGGGAACATTACAATGCTTCCAGTAAAACACTCGAGAAACTGATAACTAAGTCACTCATAACATCATACTCATAACAGCCTGATTGTACTGAACATTTTATTCATAATTTCCCAATTCATCTAGTGGACCTTTCTCATTTATAATTATTTGCAGCAATTCCATATAATGTGCTCACGACATATATAATCTCAATTGTCGCAATTCACATTCGATTTCTTTACAAAACAGTTTTCCCATAGTTCTACTGTTAATATGTTTCAGCATTGAGTCATATCTACCAAGCATGAGCAAAAATGCACTATTCTGTCAGTTTACAGTGATTTCTTTGCTTGCACTGCACATCTCAAGCTACAAAATTTATCAAATTTATTGCCGTTAAGCATTGGCTTTTTATTATCGTTTGCTGTTTATTATCATTTCCTTTTTAATATCATTACAGTGTTTATACTCGACAGACACCAATTACTGCTATCACACATATACTGCGGGCATACAGGTCTCATTTTCTCTGCTTCGTTCAAAAACCTTTATTACTCATGTGTTATTTATCAGATCATGGGGCCCACCAAGAAGCAGAGCCCAGAGAAGCGACGTGCTCTCCACAGACAGCTCATGCAGCAGACCAGAACAACGGCTGTGTCAACTGTGCAAGGGTCATTTCATCAGGGTAGTCCATTACTACCTTCACAGAACCGTGGCACTCAGTGTACATGCATGTCATTGATTGCCCTCATGACAGCACAGAACACCTCACTAGCCCGTTGGACTACTGCTCACCTCGACAGCATACTGCTGGAGGGTGACCAGCTTTACTCCTCGTGTCGTCGTCAGAGGCATTTCATGATGATCAATGAGTTGCCACAGTCAGTGTCCCACCATGGTGTCCAGTATGAACTGACATACCACAATGCCTACTGCGGAACCTTGGGAAGGAATAGCACAGAAGCTCCCTTCTATACACTTGCTGATGCCATCATTGCAGCACAGAGGGTGTCCCAACACAACTTCTTGCTTGTGGGGTCTGACGCCCACAGTTACACCTGTATGCTGATGAACTTAGGGCCACCACAAGGATGTTTTGTTTTCGACTCACATTCCAGGGATGTTTACGGTATGGGGACAGCAGATGGCACATCTGTATTAGTAACATTACCCAGTGTAGACCAGGTGCCAAACCACATTTATCAGCTGTCAATTTCCCTCCAACTGACTTCAACTGACAAGTTTGAGGTCGTCCCTTGCTCAGTGCACATCACTCAGCAACAAGTTCAGCTCTGCACTCCACCACTTGACCAGTACCTCCAGCAGCAAGCTGCAAAACACACTCAGAAAAGGCAACTATACCAGAACAAGTGGCTCAGCAAACCAGGAGTCAAAGAGCAGCGGCAATTACGAGAGAAGGTAAATCGAGGTGAGCCAGAGGTGAAGAGAATCCGAAGAGAACGAGAAGCAACTCAGAGGCAGCAGGCTGAAGTCAAGCAGGCCAGGCAGACGCGGGAAGCAGCTCAGAGGCAGCAGGATGAAGTGAAGCAGGCCAGGCAGACGCGGGAAGCAGCTCAGAGGCAGCAGGATGAAGTGAAGCAGGCCAGGCAGACGCGCGAAAAAGCCCAA